TAGTTTATGGGCAGTTAAAGTGCAGTTTCCATTCTGGACATTAATTCCATACTGTGCAAGGAGCTGATGCTCATACAACTGCTTTGTAAGTCAAATACCCAACTGTGAAAGGAATTGAGCAAAACAAGCCAACACTACAACACGTAACTTGCAACCCTGATTACAGGTTACAGTACAGGCTACTGCAAGCCTGCAACCCAGTCCCTGCATAGAAGGACCCTGAGAAGACACCATTTCATACTTGGAACTATGCCCATTTCTCCCCTGCCCTAAGCTCCTGAAATCCATCTAGTGTCTTTTGACAGTTTGAAGATTTCTACAAGAGATTTGTAATGTTTACTCTGAATTTAGCCTGTTTTTCTATATATTATAGCTCATTCCTTTTCACCAAGCTAGCCTTATATGAAACACAATACCTTATATTTTGCTAAGCTGTTTCTTCCAGAAAACTGTATTGTCTTGGCTGATACAGGTTGATCTTTATTGTTAGTGTGTATAAAAATTCCCATTTGAATTTGTCTGTCTCTCATTGATTTTTCTTCTGCCTTTCTTCTTTAGATAAGTGTCCAGCACTTTCTGCTCTTTGAGGTATTTATACACTTCAGTCATGCTATTTTTTTCAATCTTCTTTTTTGATAAACTTTTGATAAAAGCAGATTAAGCTCTGAAAGTCTCTTACTTGAAGCAAATTTCCCTAACTTTCAGGTCATGGCTTAGTGGCTTTGTTCAGTACCTTTCCTAATGCTTTAATGTCCTTTTAAAACTTGGATATGGAATTTGATGCAACGTCCCAGAACCGGTCTCATTAATATCATATAAAGTAATGAGTGACCTTCACGCTTCTACTCATTCTTTCAATCTTTCCACACCGCTGGATTACACAGTAGTGCAGTGAGAACTTTACCATCATAGTGTTGAGCTGCTCAACATGAATTCTGAATCCTTTTTCAGACACAACTCTTTACTTCAACTCTGCCCAGATTCCCAGTTCATATATCTCTTAATGTACTTTCTCAGATTGTTTTAAATTGTTCTACTTAACTTAAGAAAGAGGTTATTTTCTTGACATCATTAGTATTTATACCTCTGCCAATTCCTTTTGTATTTCTTAGTTTTAAACCATCAATGATTTTGCATTTTCTTTCCAGATCATAGAGGGCAGCACTGAACAACATTCTTACCTTTTTGTTTGGAATTTAGGATGTGGGTGCTGATCTCTAGAAGTTGCATCTTGTCTTGTCTGTGCTGGGCTGCTTCTTACTCTTTAACATGTATATCCCATTGTTAAAGGCTTCAGCTTGATGTAACATAATATTTGAGTTTCTGACTCAAATATGACTTTTGATAGGTTATGCAGTGTCACAGATTGGTGATTTGGCATGTCTTCCTATCTCAGCCATGAAATTCCAACTTGACAGTCTTTCAGGTATTGATGCTAAGCTTATCTACCCTCAGATTTTAGGTGAACAATGAATAGACCAAAGACAGGAGTAATTATAGTCCTTGTTATTCTATTTATCTATTCATGATAGAATAGGTTTTGTGTAATACCTTATTTGAAACAGAAATTTTTACCCTAATTGTGATGGTGTAAATTCATCTGGTCACAAATAATTTTTGAATTCATCTTTTGACATTTTCAATTTTTTTCTGGATTCTTATCTACTACTGCAGCTAATAAATTTCTTTTTAATAGATTAGGAAGGCTTAATTTACATTGTAAAGATGTTCAGGATACATTCAGGAAAGACAAATCAAGCACTGTTCAAAATCTGAAATTGAAAAATTTAAATTGTTAAAATCCTTATAACTGTTAGTAACATTTACCAATAGCTTACAGACACAACAAAGAATCACTACCAGGGACAGCATTCTTGTTGGTAACTTTCCTCGTAAATTATGAACAGACCAGAAGAGTGTGAGGTTATAATTTCTCTCCAATAAAAGACTTCAGCAACTGGAAGCCTCTACATGCGAAAAAAAAATGTACAGCTTTCTTTTTCAGTAGTGTAAAGTAGCATAATGTCTTTATGCTAATCACAAGTCCATTGTACCTTACTTTTGAATGCACTTACTGATATTAAAATTCTTGCTGATACTAAATTATTATTATTATGCCTGTTAGAAAATACATGTACAAACTGTGACAGGTCAGAAATAAATTCCCTCTGGAGGCACACAAAGCCATTCCTAGACTTATGCCATAGTTGTATGTTGAGGACGAAGCTCTGTGCATTAACACTAAAAGAAGCTAAATTCTTAGTTCATGAAAGGAGTGTAACCTTCTCTAACCCTTTAGCCAGAGGCCTAGTATTCAGAGGCAGTGTGCAATAAAACTGAAGAACCCTTACAATGCAGATTAAATTTTTATGTTAAGCTGTAAACAGAAAACCCCTTCCTAAAATCCACACACTACCTTACTCAGGTTTTACTGTATTACCAAGTCTTGCTCCTCCTTAATTAGACAAGTATTACACAAGTCATCTCAAACAGATGAAAGTTTTATTTCTCCAATAGTATTCTTGCAATATGTGTTTTTTATTAAAGTTACATTGAAAGGGCAGAATTCTACAGCTTTTACTCATAACACATCAAGATGAGTAAAAGGGAAAACATTCCTTGAAGAAATATTTAGTTACAAATTACAGATGATTTCTGAGATAAAACTTACTTATACAAAATATATTAATTGTACTGAATGTATTGTTTTCTTAAGCAGGCAATAAAATTATTCAAGACATTTTGAGACTTATAGCTGACTAATCAAGGCAAATCTTAATGATGATACTATCATACAAAAAGGTAAACATCACTTTGAGAAAATCCGTAATCACAGCAATTATTATTTTTCCTGTTCAGCATTAGTTATTTTAATTTCAAAGTACTCTATTTCATGTCAAAGCAACAACTACAGGTACAACAAAGAAAGATTTGGAAAAAGTTCAGTGAAGCATGAAAAGGACAAACAAAAAATTCTTTATTCAGAGAAAGTGATTGATATTGAAGCTAACAATGGGCCTTTTTATATTTGTGTTCTGCATAATTTATTTATATTAAGAATAAAAATATAGGATTATATATCCTGTAGTAGAGAAATTCCATATACCTTTTGAAATAGAAATATAACTTCCTTATAGAAGAGTATTAGAAAGAAACCTAAGTGTTATGTATACAAACAGTAGCTTGATTCTTCTGCCTTGCAAGTAGATAATTTCCAGTAAAGTGTAACTGGACTTTCATATTTTATTTGCTTTAGAACTGTCTATGATGTTTTACAAAAACATAAGTGACTACAAGTTGCAATATCATGATGAATCAGATTCCCTCAGAATGATAAATAATTAAAATTATGGCAATAGTAAAATTTCAGATTAAATTATAAAAAAATATGTTGACTCATTACTTCCTCAGAAAAGGAAATACATTCTCCACCTATGGGAAGAAAAAAAACTAGGTTAGCTTCTGAAGGAGAGCAAAGAAATATTTTTACTGAAAGAGATACCAAGGTATTCAGAACAATTTATAAATTCATTAATAATTTAGAAATATGCAAATAAACTTACACGTAGAATAGAATAAACACTAGATAAGCAAATAAACAGAAGGATCAATTTTATCTTTGTGATTTCATTTAATATTGCAATTAAAAGACTTAATTTCCAGTTTTAATTATTATATGAGGAAACCACAGCATCCTAGAGGTTTCTATGTTCATATTTGGTGTGTTTTCAAATTTGTAACAGTTAAGACCTAATATGAAATAATTTTTATTTAAGATATTGAATCCAAATTCCACACTTGATTAAAATTTTAGCAAACCTTCTAAATGGAATTTGCCATAAAAGTGTAACTTTTTACATTGTGAGTAACAGAGTCTTGAGAAGAAAAAAAATTACATTCACAGTCTGCCCTCCACATGGCATCTACATACATACATACCTGTATTGAATTTTTCCATTTTGAAACTCCACCCATTATTAACAATCAAAGTTTAGTGTAGGTTTTTTATGAGTTAGAAAATTTCTAAGTGTTTTAAGTTATTCCCTGCATTTACTTCTAAATAAAGGCATATCTAATCACTTCTAAAAGAGTGAATTGGCATAGAGACAATGTAGTGAAAGTAAAAGAGATTCAAATCCTTCTGGAATAGATGTTTTACTAGAATTCAGCACAAACAGTCAAATTTCTTCACCTTTTTTGAGATTCCAAAAGCCACAAATGGTTTTAGTTGCATTGTGTATCACAGTGTTACTCAAAATTTTATTTATGTATATGTTTTTCCAATGTGTTGGACAGCAGTCGAGTAAGAGTTTCATGGTAATAAAGACTTTTTCTTTGGGTCCACATGGCTGATCACAGTGCCAATACTCTTCTGCAGAGCACACTTTACAATGTCAGTGGGAGTTTTGCATGCATATGAAGAGATGGCTATGGGAGATGACATTTGTCATGTGGCCCTAAAATAGTTCCTTCAGTAAGATGTTGGGGGTTTTTTCCCACTGTAGCAGTCACTTTTGTTTTAACAGAAAACAAAACTGTAAGACAATGTAAAGAATACCATCTGCCAAGAGACTGATATGTTTTATTATGTTTAAATATCAAAATAAAACAAAAACTGATGATATTAGTACTATTCTGTTCGAAATACTTACTTTTTTTTTTCCTGATCTAGGCTTCTATTACACCACACCTGCTTAAACAGACCAGTCTTAGAATAGACTCTGAAATATGACATTTGACATACCCAGATATTTTTGTAGATAACATTATTTAACTCTGTGATAATGGATTGATAACTGTTGACTGAAAGTGTTACTCATCTACAGAAGTTCTGAGGAAGAATTAACAGCAAGTTATAACTATTCAGCTTAGCAAAATAAAATTTTGCTGTTTTCCTGTTCATATAAAATGAACTATGATTGACTACACAAAATTAGAGTTTCCCTAACAAAATTTCTAACAAATGTTTTGTTTGTTTGTTTGTTTTTTCTTACTGTTAGCTTGGTAGCCACAAAGGAAACGGACAGTGCAAGATCTCGTAGCATGCCAATGTCACCATCGGATTTCCTGGATAAGCTAATGGGTAGGATGTCAGGCTACGATGCAAGGATCAGACCAAATTTCAAAGGTAATTTCAAAACTAAGCTTTCAGGTTTTTTTTATTGTTCACACAAATGCAATTTCTGGAACAAAAATGAAAACAAAAAAGTACATTCACTGAAAAAAATTAAAAGGTGCCTTCTTTTGCCTTTCTTTTGTATATATGACAGTTCATTTCAATAGGAATACACTCTATCCCTGTTACTTTCACAGCTGCCCAATTACAGGCCCTTTGTAAATTTAGTTTATCATCAGATTTGAATTGTCTGATATGGTTTGTTGGTTTCTTTTCTTTCCTGAAATGCTTGCTAATGGATTCAGATTGCCACCTTGGACTACCATAGCCTGAAACAGTCCAGAAAGCAAGTTCTGTGAAATATAAGCCAAATCTTCATATCTGCCTGGTTCTAACTAAAAGGAAGAGTGTATAAAGGACTTGACCATCAGAGTCAAACTCAAGACAGCTTATCTTAGTTACCAATTCTGGCACCAAACTAGATTCTTTACTCCTGTGCCCCACTTGTGCTTTGAAATGCCAAAGACACCATCTTCCCTCTTGTTCTTTTCCCAGTTCTCAGTTCTCCACTGAAACTGCAAGTTCTCAATACCTGCAGTTGTCTCTTGGCATTCGAACAAGACAAAGGAGATTCAAAAAAGACTGAAAGTCCAAAGTTTGCAAATGAAATCATTACATCTTCCAAGAGTCTTAGCATAAATAATAACATCCAGACTCAGGCATGCTAAAGTAGAATATTTAATGAAGGACTACACAAACTATATTTTTATATGAATATGCAATGTTTTTTATGGACAAACACCACCCATTCTAGCTTTCACAGTCTGGGAAGTTGTTTTTTGAAAACAAGGAGTTCCAATAATATAGCGGAACCATATTTAACTCTATTACTGAATCTTTAAACAAACTATCAGTCGTTTTAAATTATACAGAATATAAATAGTGTTTTGAAAGAATAAAGTTATTGTAATTAAAAACTATGTTATTCTTACTTTGCCTTAGCTGCTTCCCCCAATGCCTATCTTCCTGAGTCCAAGGGATTCTCTTAGCTCTAACATTTCACTACAAAGAAGGTCATGTTTACTACAAAAATTTTCCTTCACGCTGACAGTCCTTTCTCCTGTAATTCATCTGTCACTGCCTTTCCATCTTCATTCTTATTCAACAACAAATGTTATAATTTTTGACATCTCTAAGTCCCAGAAACTTAAGTTATTTTGACTCTAAAGCCACTGTTATATGGTGGGTTTGCCACAATTCGCCCAGTCTGATTCACAAGGACCATGCAAGCGATCTACCAAATTACTTCCTCATCAATAAACCATAAACATTTGGTCCTGTATATATAAACTTATTACCCAGGATTTCCTGCAGCTGGAAATGCCTTGCTGTTTTTAAGTTAATGATCTGATATTTCTCAGAAAATTATAAACATGCACTGAAATTTCAAACACATCTCTAGTTGATTTGGGAATTGGATTGTGTAGTTTGACCTGGACAGCATGCAGTGACAATCTTCTGATGAGGCTGCAGTGAAGAATAGGTAGATGGTTTAGAGATTAGCAAATTCAATGAAGTAGTTCTTGAAAGTATAATTCAAAGGACTTAGAGCTTTGTTTTGTAACTATTGCAATTTAAAGAGACAAAACCTAATTTGACATTGTACTTTTTCAAAAAGTGCACTTTCTAAATCTTCTAGACAGCTATGTGGTTTGAATAAATCTGCCCAGAATGATTCAGATCTACCACTAAGAATAAGTATCTCCTTAAGTGACTTTACCACTTTCTGGTTAGTTGTATTACTCCTAGAACAAGTGCTGGGTTTGAGTTTATAATCTAGAAACAGTTTTAAAGAAAGAGGATGAGTACTAATAAGAGAATTCAAACAATCATTTTAAATAATTTTTACTTCCAGTAAAATTCCTATGTACACAAGATTTTTAGCTACCAATTTTAGTAATAATGAATCTTGGTCAAGAACACATAATTATAAACTTTGTCTGAATGCTCTGCTTTTGCATAAGGATTCTGCATATAAGTGCTTGTTCAACAAAAATAATAGAGATGACTTAGTATTTATTCAGCAATGGAATAAAACACAATATTAAGAACTCTTGTAAAATCTTTCTTCCAGTTCCAAACTTTTTTTTCCCCTTACATCAAACCTATAGAAAGGTGCTTCTCTTAGTTTCTACACTGCAGACTATAACCATTCCTGCAAATGTGGGAAATACTTCATTTTCTTTCAAAATTTGAACACAATTATGTAACCTGTGTGTAGAAAATGTCATGGCGTCAAGATGTTTGGAGTTAAATTGACACAGGAGTATAGAATATTTTTAAATCTATACAGGTCAAATTGCACTATTGAAATATTAAGGTAGAAATTTGGGGCTTTACAGAGGAAAATGTAAAGTGTTACTTGCCCTCGTATTGACAAATATTATTCAGCAGTAATTAGCCAAGAGTTAATTGAAAAAAAAGTAATTTAGTTACATATGTTCTTCTGATCACTTCTGGAAGCCGTTTATACTTTTGGCCTTTTTGTTATTTTCTGTCAATAAAACCTTTGTGTTTTGGAATATTGGAAAGTATCATTTTTTGCTTGCTTTTAATTGGATTACTATTTTACTGATTTTATTGCCATGTGACATATTGAGAAATGGACGAGAAGTATTACTTCCTTTTGATCTTTACAGATTTTTATACTTACATATTACTCCCTACTGTATACCTTTTCCAGTGTGAAGGGTCCTGTTCTTCTTAAGCTGGTTTTGTGTGGCAGTTTGTCATAGAATTTTTGATCCTTTTGACTTCTTGACGTCTTTCTTCCTAATATATCCTTATGAGGCAGACAAAGAAGAAAATTTGAAGTATTCAAGATGGAAGTTCATGATCTATTTGTATGGTAGACCATTTTTTACGTAATTCTTTGCATTCTCCTATTTTTATTTATTATAAAGCATACTTAGAGAGAACCATCCATAAATAATGTAGCCTCTCTTTACTGTATGGAAGTCATTAATTTGGAGCCCATCAGCAGGAATGAATAGTAGGGATCAACTGGTATTTGACTGACAGTGAATTTTATCAAACATTTTATAACTTAATAGTTCAGTATTTTGTAATTTTTCTGCACCTCCTTGCAGTCAGCTTTATACACAACCATGCTAAACAATCTTATATCACAAGCAAAATTGTATTGCTATATCATTTTATTCATCAATATTGAACTACAGAAGTTCAGCGCAGATGCTTGGGGAACTCATCAGCAATCACCCTGAACTTTGAAAAATAGGTGTTTATTCCTAATATTAAAAAAATTTAAAGAAAAAGGCCTATAAGAGAACTGCCTCTCATTTCATCAAAACTAATATTCTTAAAAACCTCTGACAAAATATTACATTGAAAAGTTTACAGGGATAAAGTTCTTTGCCAATGTCATCCACCATCATACCTGAAGTTTTGGTTTTTTAATTCAAGATATACTTACTGGACATGGTACACATTTCCACTGATTACAAAATTGATACAGGTGATAGCTGACTCACAGTGATTCGTATTTCCACAATTTTGCAAAGATTTTTATCATGTCTCGATTTATATCACCTCACACTGACCGTTTGTTCCTGTTCACTTAGTCTGGAATATCTTCTAAAGTCCTACAAATTTTCCATCAGAATGGCTCTAGTATTTGACACAACTGGCAATTGGAGACAAATGCTGCTACAAAGACTTCATTTACTTTGCTGCTCTGACCTTCTGCACTTTCATGGATACTTTTATACCTTAATCATCATCTCTCACCTTCCAGAACTTGGCAGGATTCTATTTTTAATGCCTTGTAGATAGCTATCATTGTTAGCTTTTCTGTCTCTAGTGAGTTTCACTCTATTTCTTTTCTCCCTCTCTTTAATCTATTTCAACTTGTCTGAATTCCTGTGTTTGAGTTCCTGTGTTTCAGCTTTTACAGCTTCCATTTGGGCTTCTTTTTGACCATATTTTGGGAAGTTCATTTTCACTCACAACATAGTATCTTTAAATTATCTCTAAACCATTTGCAAGCTACTTTTAGCTTCTATTTTTGTGCTCGTTTTAACTAGATATTAACTATTTTATTGCAATGCTGCTTTTGAAATTAAGCTTCAGTGCTGTAATTGTCTAGGGCTTTTTGTTAATAAAAGCAAATATGTTGATACAGCCAACTTATATTTAAAGCATAATACTGTTTTAAACAAAATAGTATCCCATCAAATTTGAAATGATGGCAAGTAGTACAACATGGAAGTGTTTGAAAGGAAAGTTGCCTTGCAAACAAATTAACTAATATTAGCAGGAAGTACAGTTTTCTCCCTGACAGTTTTTCATGACACTGTTCATCTTCCCTGCTTTTTCTTTTTCCCTTGATCCTTTCCAGGGGTTGTGCATGTAAAGCTTCTACTGAGTTCTAAGAGGTACTGTATATACTCAATGACTCTAAATAATTAACCAACTTTGGAAGTGACTGTAAGTGGTATCTCCTTACCTGGGAATTCTGCTCCATAGGTGTAGTCTTGTGTTTTACAAAGACTGAAGTATACGTAGAAATGTTTTGTTGCAATTGCTATACAGCACTTCAAAACATTTATTACCTTGAGGAAAGAAAGGTGGATGTTCCAAGGTGTGTCATGTTGGCAGAATTTTTAATGGACATTCTGATATTTCAAGTATTTAATATCAAGTTCATTGGTCCTGTTAGATTTTGCTAGTTGCAAACCACCAGTAGAGGCAGAACAGTTTCTTACTTCAGTGACCCTAAAAAAGAAATATTGCATCAAAGTTTGTAAGACCAGTCCTCAAATTCCAGATACAGATCTTTCATGATTAGTGTCTGCTTACAACTACAAAAAGAATACAGGTTTTCCAACGTTGAACTGGATTATTGATTTAAGAATATTGAGTTGCAGGAAGGTAACAAAGAAATCTTGTGATGGAAAAACCTTGTTTCTATTGTACGCAGAATGAAATTTATAAGAAATAATGAAGAAATTAGCATGCTCTCCCACAGTGATGTTTTTAAAGAGACTTTAAAAAAATAATTTAAACTATTTTCCACAAAGAGGTAATTCATTGTTCAGTTATCATAATGACTGCTCTACCACTACTGATACTTTAAAATGCAAGATAAGACAGAACAACAGTTGACTGAAGACCCATGGTAGCAGAGAATTGAGTTTAAATGAACCTTTAACCATTGTGTGATTTTAAGAGAAAGGGGAATAGAATCTAAATAATTTTCCTGTAAGCAGTAGAGATAAGAACAGCATTAATGCATTTCTTTTCCCAATGATGACAAGTAACATTAAAGGTACCACCTGCCTTGAGTGAAGAAAGTCACTTTTCCCCCTGAATTGTTGTGAGAAGTAATGTGCATTCTCACTGAAACACACATAAAAATATTTTTACTATATATTTCAAATTGGATGTTGCTTTTTTTTTTTTTGCATAGAACCATCTGTGCAAGTTTATACTGAATTTTCTCTCTGTCTTTTTTTTTAATTTCTAAAACTAGCCAGTCAAGTATTGTACCTTTGAGAAAAAAATCGAAAGGAAAATTATTAGAAACCATTCAATTCAATTGTGTATTAAATAAGTTGGGAATGTTGCATTATTTCCTCCTAAGTCAGCAAACATTGTTTCATAACAGTTTATATTTTACAGTCACTCAATAAGCAAAAATTCTGGAACAAGGACTGATGTTTTTTCTCTTTTGCAGGTCCTCCAGTTAATGTCACATGCAACATATTTATAAACAGCTTTGGGTCCATTGCAGAGACAACCATGGTAAGATATTTTAACTTAATGTTTAAAATTTGAATTAAAGATGTTCCAGAAGCTCTAAAGCTAGCTAGGGTTTCTCTTCACCTGGAACAAAACAAAGAAGGAAATCCACTTCTGAGAACAGAGAGTGAGAAAATCTAATTTGGCAATTGATTTTTTTCTAACAAAAAATCCGTCTTTATACCATCACACAGAAGTAAAAGTAAAGCCAAGAGTTGGGGTTTTTCTTTAAACTTCTCTATAAGTTTTGTTTTTCAGTTTTAATGAAATAATTATTAGATTTCTATAATTTCTATAGTGTATCACTTTTCTAATCTCAAAAATGCCAATGTATTGTTGCTTTGTTCATAATATTTTATAATTTCATTTAATACAGTGAATATGGAGATGTATATTTTATTTAAAAATCTTTCTTCCATAGAGCTATTGCACAGAGATAATAGAATAAGTATAACTTTGAACTGGTATATAAAATTTGGTTAAATATAAATGGATTGCATGCCTTTGTACATACACTTATACTCTGTCTAGTAAAGAAGGGCATATGATAGAGTAAAAAAAGATTGGACAGTTTAAGAAATAAGGAGAAAAAAATGTCAAAGTGTAAAGGTAGTAAAACTAGATATTGAACTGTGAACTGACAAAAAACCCTAGGATAATCTCATTTAACATGAGAAACATATATGCTAATAACTTAGAGCACAGAATTAATCGTTAAAATTTGGTTAGAGAGGACATACATACATTCTTTTTCTATACAATGGCTTCACATTTTTTTGAAGAAAGGCAAAAATACCTCTGTGAAACCAGTTACATAGTAATTTGGGGACAGAGAGGGTTAAAATACAGGGAAATGACAGAACTGTGTAGGTTGTAAGATCTAAATATAGTAAATACTCTGAAATCCCTGTAGTTGGGATTGTACTTGGAATGACCGAACAGAGACTAAAAGTAATTGATATAGTAAAAAACCCCTCCAAAAAAAGCCAAACAAAAAGACTCCAAACAAACAAACCTCACCCTAATGTAACCAAGGAACTCTATCTAAGAAAACAATAGGACAAATCCATAAAGTGAAATATTTATGTCCCCTATCTACAAAGTGATATTAACAACTGCCTGATCTTTACCCACCTTGGAGCATAGTAGTAGAGATTAGTGAGAGAGGTAGATGATTTTTTTCCAGTTAGAAAAATGACTTTAATTTGTATTTGGGGGCCTTTCCAGATTGCAAATCCTAAACAGATTGACGTGGCATCTAAAGAGATTTATTCAGGTTCAATCAGAGGATTAAGCAATACCCACATTATTAGAATAGTGTTCAACAGCTACTGTATGGTGTCTGAATGAGTGAATTTCATCCAAAACAGGAGACAGACCATGGGGTCAATAAAGTGCCAAGATCCAGCCACTACATCATTATTTAAAGGATATCTAGAAAATTGGAATTGTTACCACTTCGAAAAATTGTCCTGAATTTGGGAAGAGAATGGCTGAGTTCACATCTGAAGTGTATTTTCTCTCCAAAACCAAAGAATTATAAACATTTCCTTTCAGTGCAACTTAGTAAGTTAGTTCAATACATCTATTTTACAATGAAACTACCTTCTGTACTGCGTTGCCTTGAAAGCAAATTAAAACAGTCAAGATAGATAATGACCTGACATGTAACAAATAGTTCCAGGAAGTACTTTATAGGAAATACCAAACCTGGTCAGAACCACAAGGCTTTTCATTCTCTTAATTATATGTATTCAAAAACTGGGCACTTAAGCACAACCTTGACCTTCATGACGCTTGTATTCTGTTTATAATGTAATCACTGATGCACTTCAAAACAGACTTCTGCTTATTGTCAGCATCTGTGGACCTCCCAGAGACTCAGATCTTGCTTTGCAGAAGAACAGATGCTTTTGTCTAGATAAGACTTTTAATTGTGTGTTTTATTAGCTTTACTTCTCCCCAACACTGAAGGTGAACTTTTAAAAAACATTAAAACCTGTCTTAAAATATATCTTAAAATGACAATAAAAATCATTTTGCATTATTTTACAAACTGAATTTCTGCATGGTTTAACAGAAGTTCAGTGTTTCACCAATTGACACTATTTTATCAGTTTTATTTACTGTAGCCCTTAAAATTCAGGTACCTATGTCTCAATATCTGTTATAAATCTTTGTGCATACAACGACTCATTAGAACAATTTTTTAGACTCAAAAAGGGCTTTTATATTCTTGATAAATATTTCTTTTCCAAACTGTAAACAGAACAGGTTAAGTAAGCAGCAGGTGCAAAATAAAACCTGGCCACTAAGTGATACCTTGCATTTAAAACATCTAATAATGGGATATGCGTATAATCTCCTAGCTTTAAAGAAATATGAATACATCGAGGCACGACCTTCGCAGTCACTGTAATTGCCCTTGGCACTGTCAATCTCTCTCCTTGCTTCTCCGGTGCCTTCGCTGATGATCAAAATCTTTGAGCTCCCTCTGCTGCCCCGGATGTGTATAACATAGTAAACAGTCACAGAAAAACAAGGGGTTAAAAAAACCCGCATCGGTTGCAAAGTAGCTCGGTGCCAACTTCACATTACCAGACTTAATAGCTCTCGCTGAGGTCAAGGAGTCTGTCAGTGCGCAGTAGGAACTGCACTGTGTGTCAGATTCTCTTAAAGTCATCCACACCTGGTCTAACAGCTCAGGATAAACAGAGTATCCTAAAAAGCATCTTAGTTTGGCTTACAGCTTGTTAACTCTATAAACTGGTTCTTTCTTTTCTTGTTTTTTTTTGTTTTGTTTTGGTTTTGGGTTGGGTTTTTTTTACATTTCTTTCACTTTCTTTAGATATGGGTTACAGTTATTTCATGTTCTCTTTCTGTGTCTCAAAAGACAGATCAGACTGTTCATAGCAGGGAAAAGACATGCCACCTCTTGCCAGGAAGCTGTGATTCTACTTGAACCTACATAACTTAAAGTGATCATATGAGGAATTTAGTTTGTGTCATGTATGCTCTGAGGAGGCAGAAAAAAAGTGAACCATATAATTGAAAACCCTCTTAAACAAACTTCTGTCATTGGCACCATTTAAGATCTAACCTAGCCAATCTTTCTGTGTTATTGAACTGAATGGTAGTATCAGTTCTGTCCATGTCTCAGTGGTACTCAGCTTGTATTTGCATTGTACCTTCTAAAGCTAAAAGACTTCCTGATCATTAAGAGCAGTCTGGTATATATTATTGGCAATTGCCAACAACAACAAAACCAAGAACAGATTATTCAGTCTTACAGGGTAAGAGTAATATCAGTACCAACATTTTCAGCTACAAATGCTCGGAGTCAAAATACTGAATACAAGAAACAAAGGCTACAGGACAGTTTGGCAATTGGGTAATAGTAGACCATACCAAAAAGTCTGCTTTTATTTTAGTAGATATGACTGACATATTTGCTCAAGGTTTTCTGAGTTTTAAAGGTCAGGTACAATACTGATCTTAATGTAGGTTTACAGCAATTTTTACTAAGTGCGTGTTAATATCCTTAGCATAATGCGTATGCTAAAAGTGCATTGAAAGGGAAGCTCACTGAGAGACCTAATGGCAAATGACAAGAGTGCAGACAATTAACACATTGAAAACCATATGTCTCTTATTTGGTCTTGCCATGTTTTTGCTCATAGGTATTTCTTGGTTCAGTCTGAAAAGAACTGAATGTTGATAGGAAGCATGTGATAGATCTTTCTCTATTCCCACTGCTAATGATATTGTCTTGCATTTACAAATAAAATGTGCTTTTAAACCACATTAACCCATTTTTATGCAGTTGTAATTACTCTCTTTTCAGAAGTCACAGGTCTTTAATTTCTTTAGCTTCATCTTTCTTTCAAGTGAGCATTTCTGTTTATGTTCTATTGTACCTACTCTAGGTTGTATCTCAATAGAGTGCTTGGAAGTGTTCACTTGCACACATTGCAAACCTTAATGCTGAAGAGTTTCACCAAATATTTTTCTTCAGAGTAACCACTTAGTTGATTGTCTCAAATACATTAAAATATATGCCTTTCTTTGGTGAAAATACGCTCAAAAAATCTGTGTAGCAATGTGTCAATATTGACATGGCAGGAAGAAATATCTATGGTTTTTATCTCAGACAAGTAAAAGTGAGGCCTTGCTATAAAGGCCACTTTACAATTTCAAAATTGAAAAAAAAATATCTTTTTTTCCCCCTATTTGTCAATTAACTCCCTTCTATCACAATACAGAAAACTTGATTTTTCTTCTACAATTTTGGAAGACAGCTTATTTAACACTCTTTATTTTTCATAAACTTGCCTCTGCCACCCTGATCCTGGGTCAGAGTCAGGACTAGACAGAGGTTTTACAAATTCTAGTGGGTCTGCAGCTGTCCAGTCTGTTACACGTCCAGACTAATCCATGCAAATCCCTCTGCTGAATCTGCATTCTAAGTAGAGATATCACATCATCCTCCTGAGATACAGCATTTATTCCATATTATAAGGAAATTCTCTAGGATGCAATCAAAGCATGCTTGCATGATATATACAACATATGAATTATCAAATAGCATAATTTTTCTTTTAATTAAAAAAAATAATAATTGCTATACTGATTGGTTTTACAAGCAGCAATGGAAAACATTTTTTGTGCACTTCTTCTCTGACACTTTTAGTATAGGATAACTTTTTAGAAGGGAATCTTGGAATTCAGACACTGTGTGGTGGAAGATACCAGATAAAATGCTGACTGGTTGTACAACAGCACAACAGCATAACGAAGCAGAGAGAAACAAGAAAATGCTAGGCAAAGGTAGCACAACCATCTCCCATCCATCTCACCAAGTTACAGGGTGTGACATGGTACCAACTGCTTGGAATAGCTGATCAAGGGTGCACATTGCATATTACTAACACAAGTTGAGTCAGGTGCCTATTTAAAATGAGACCAATTTGAAGTTTTGCATAAAAACGTGACAGTGATGATTT